ATTGATTAAGGGGCGTTATTATTTTAAACGGGCATTGCCATATTTTCACGGAATGATGCAGGGTCAATTGAAATTAAAGCTTAACGTTCTTTTAATAGTTATTCTTGTTTGTTTAACGGATTCCGGTCTTATAATATATTCTGTCCTGATAACAAACCAATTATCGCTTTTTGTTATCTGAGAGCTGGTTAAATGCTTGTAATAAATATCGGGTCACATGATATTCTGAAAACCCGCAGTTCATTGTACATTATTAACTTTCTATTCTGTAACAAATACAGCAATCCCCATATTTATAAACCTGAAATACCTAAATATATTAAACATGAGATACGGAATATGATAAAAACATGCATTTTAATTAAGATTATATATATCCATGTTAATCCTTTTAATACGTAAATTCAACTTAAACGATGCTGTAAACATCGTGAAGAGATAGCTTAACTATGTTATATATATCCATGCTAATCTTATAAATACGTACATTGTAAATACGTAACATGATTCTTAATCATGTGATATAAATAACGACGTAGGAATTGTAATTACGTCAATTGACTTTAACTTGTAACATATAAACCTCAAATACATTAGTTAGACACATACCTCAGCTTTGATTACAGTGTAGAGTAATTGTACGCTCGTTGAAACATACTGGTTAAGATCATACCTCAGTATATGGTAGAGATCGATTAAAGGTTTGTTTGAAAGTACTGCTTGTGTCCCTGTGGCATTTAGAGCCTGAGAAATAGCTTGTTTAATAGCTACACTTGTGTCCCTGTATAGCATTTAGAGCCTGAGAAATAGCGTGTTTAATAGCTACACTTGTGTCCCTGTATAGCATTTAGAGCCTGAGAAATAGCGTGTTTAATAGCTACACTTGTGTCCCTGTATAGCATTTAGAGCCTGAGAAATAGCGTGTTTAATAGCTACACTTGTGTCCCTGTATAGCATTCAGAGCCTGAGAAATAGCGTGTTTAATAGCTACCGAGATCGCGCCCAGTGGTAGTGATGTTGATAGTTCACGGGATTGTAGCCTGGTGGATTGTGTCCTGGTTGACTTTGATAGCGGACGGGTTGTACCTGGACTGATACAGTTTGGGGAAAAGTTTTAAGAGTATGGCATTTACTATACCTGATATATCCCTGTTGAATATTGTTTTTAAGTTTGAAAGAATCAGAATCCTAATTATATTCCAAAAGATGATTCATAGACGTTATAAATTGAGTGAGAGTCTGCGAAAGTGTAAATATTACTTGTTGTGTTTATTAGCAATCAGTAAAAATGTTAGACGTGTACTTTTTTGTAGTGAAAGAAAATTTGCCGAAACTTATACGTTACGAAAAAAAAACAAAAAAAACATCAAGAATTGTTTTAACTTTTTCTAGGCTTTCAAAAGTTTCCAGATGAACCAAATTCAATTTTAATATTGATCTGCATAAGAGGCAAATATTTAATTTCTCAGAATCATTTTTTTGCATTCAAGGGAGTTTTTTCACTGCAATTCGAAATATATGGCAAACAAAAGTTTTTGTGTCGGGACATTTCAAAAGTAAACGTTGCTAAGATATCTTAATAGATTGGTATAAGTTTAAATTTAATGCAACGTTAATAAACACAGAAAGGTTGAATATTTTTCATCCATTGTACTGTATTTGTCCTAGAATTTGGCAGTCTTTTATAACTTTGCAAAAACAGCTAAAAAAAAGATGTACACGTCAATATTCCTAGTTATCTATATTTATTTATATTTATATGCATGAAGTGCGGGTGTAAGGTGTATATACATATATCCTCCAGAGATTGGTATATGGTTAGTATTATATTCTATTATTCTGGTAACCTAATTATACCAACATGTAAATAGGTGTTAATACTCCGCATCAAACCATGAAACAGTCAATACGAAGAATAGTCCAGAAAATCTGATGATTACTATTTTAATGTCATCACTAAGAAACACACGTACCTGGTTATCAAATAAACATCGAAAAAGGGAATGAATTTAAATTTTAAACTTTAAAACATTTAAGATTTCCAAGAAAAAAACTTGTCGGAGGACCGAGCCAAAACCTTAAAATCTGATTTTTAGATCCTTTTAACTTTGCAGCCTATATACGTCGTATAGACCTTAACCTAGATATTACAGCTGGATAAAAGGTCTTCGACATTATGCTGCAAAAATATAGAACATAGGGTTGGAAAACGTTTTAAAAAGTTGCTTGCCCTATTACGGGACCAGATACCCTTGTCCATTCAATCCTGTGCCTGAATCCTAATATTTCATTGGCCATTTTTCTCACTACCAGCTTTATAAACCAGAACCGAAGTAGATACAAAACCAAGAAAGGATTTTAAGTATAAAAACAGTAATATCTATTTATGCACCTGTCTTCTGTTATCATGCGGGACATGGACATTATGTTTTTTGGCAGGGATTTTTACTTTTTTGTTTTTTTTTAAGGTTAAAATTTAAACCGAAAACAAATAAAAAAGGAAAAATCACAACAACAAAACATGAATTGAATAAATTATTTGAATCTGGGAGTAGAGAATGAAACTAATTGAACTAATCTACTGATAGACATAATTGATTGCATTGTTTATCCATATATCACAATTGGATAACCTTTCTTTCAAGACAGAATACATTCATAGTAATTTTAATCAACTTTACGTAACCAACATCAATTTAAAAATATTTACAATTATAGTCAGTATTAATTAATGCAAAAAAAAATTTTATTTTAAATTCGGTGATGGTGATAGACCAAACCTCTGTAAAGAGAAAAAAGTAGATGTTAGTTTAACATTTTATTGAAAAGAAAATATATTTCGGTCTAGGTTGACGTCCTCGTCAGTTCTAACGATATAATAACCATCAAAATTGATGTTAAAAACCACAAGCAAATATACAAACAAAAAAATAATTAGAATTTTTTTTAAAAAGTTGTTTTATTTATTTAATTCCAAATAATTATATCATTCATAATTTTTTTAAAGGTCTGAAATGATTTTTATAACGGTTTTCGACCTGACCCGAATAAAGAAGTTGTGGTTGATGATTGACAGAACATTATAATGTAATTTGTAAGATCAGAGGTCAAAACTCGTTTGTCGTCAATACTTGGATCAATCAATTATCGGTACATTTAAAAATTCCTCTTGGAAATCCTGTGATGTCGGAACTTGGGTTTCCAGTGAAATAGTTAAGAGCGCAATGTCCGCATTTTGCGCCCAAATTGTATGGTTACACCCCCGTCGTTTGTCTCTGCAAGTTACATTCATGGAGAAATCAGAATGTTCACAAAAATATTTATATTTTGTATTTCTGTGCTAGGATACAATCGGGCATGTAATTTTTTTAAAGATGAACACTTGAATTTACATCTCCAGCCTCTTTAATAATAAAATATTAAAAACAAAAAATTACAGAGAAAATAAACTGTCACCAAGAAAATATTCATGTTCCAAGGAATTGAATTTTTTTCACAAATTCTGATTTGCAACCTAATATCGTAGACCTTAGATATTTCAAACTATGAATTCTGTTAGATTATATAATCTAAGTTTGAAATATCAAAAGTGTGCACTATTTGGTTGCAAAGATATAAGGATTATAAAATTTGAGTTTGTGGCAAAGACTCAATTTCATTAAATTTCAAAATCGTCTATGTTAATACAACTCCGTTTTTAAAGTGTAAAAAGTTCGCTTCTGCCATGAAATGCAATGAAATATTCAAGAGGATACTTAATTACTATTCTCTTCCTCCCATAGTTGTCAATTTCAACATAAAAAGGCAGCCTAGCATATGTTCTGTGGTTAAAACTTTAGTTTCTAACAGCGGTAAGCTACAACGCTTGATCTGAAGTGGAAAGTGCTTGATACCTAGATCTATATTTATCCCTGTCGGGTTCCAACTAGGGTTTCCAGCGGAAGCAAACTCCTGCACGAAATGCGCAAAGGAACTGAGTTTTTGCCACAAATTATGATTTTACAATCGCCATATCTTTTCAACCTGATGGTGTAAACCTTTGATACATCAAACTTTCATTATTTGATCTAAAGAGATTCATGGTTTGAAATATCTAAGGTCTCCGACAGTAAAATGAAAAGATATAGGGAAAAGAAAATCAGAGTTTGTGACAAAAACTCAATTCCTTTGCTTGCGTATTCCGCAAACTTTTGCGCGTAATTCCACATTTTTGTGCAAAAATTTGCTTCCGCTGGAAACTTTAGTCGGAACCCGGCGGTGATAAATATGGAAATCCAAAATAAACATATATCTTTATGAGAATTTCTGGTTTCTCCATGAATGTAACTTGCAGATACCATGGAAATTAACAGAATTGATCCTGATCTAAAAACGACGAAATCTTCTTTTTTAGGTAAAAGTTTATTATAGTTCCCATTATTAGAAATGATTTCTGTTTTCCATGTTTGACATTTCAGCAGTAGGGATGCTAAGAACTCGCTGGGCCTAAATTTTTCCGAATTTTTTTTTCCCCTGGAATTCCAGATAGGATTCCGGAAATTTGTCGGTTAAGGGGGAAAATTGTTTCAGAATGATCCGGAATTCCGTAGCCTGCTCCCAAATTAAAATGGAAATAAATTCCGAATCATTTCGAGTAATCAAACAGTAAACCGGAATTTCGGTGGAAACCCTACTAATAACTCTTAAAATAAAGGGTCCCATATTATTGTGTCTACATGAATACAACCTATTTTTATAGAATTTTATCCTGCATATTCTTTTATCAAAAAAAATTTTAGAAAGAAAAAATGTCAACGATCGCAACATGCTTTTTTGGAAAATCGTAGAAAACTATTTCAAACTCAGCAAACTTTCTTCGTGTTGATATTTTTTGTTTTTCTTCTATAAAAATTGAAACAGTAATAAATAAAGATAGGGTAAACATTTTTATTTTAGCAAGTTCATGCATAATATATTTGCCCAGAATGTCCTCTTCATATTTTGCTCTGATCATAAAAAAATGCAATATTTTAACATTTATTAAGTAGCCGTACACAGGTAGTAGCCGTACACAGGTGTATGCCACACATTTACACAGGTTTAATAACAACATTGAAATGTGTTCTTTAACAATTTAACATCAGCAAGGAGTCACTTATTAAATATCCCAGTCAGATGCGCAACAGGGGGTGCATGAGGCAAGCCATCCTCCACTGGCTCCTCTAGGGAGTAGGGGGCGCCGGGCGCCTACCCAAGAAATTTCAAGACCGGAAATTTATATGACTAAAAAGGGGGAAAGGGTAATGATTTAAAAAATCATTTTTAAAAATAGTTAAATTCACAGATAATTAACTTATTCTTAAAGAATGCATATTCTATGTCGTGCATTATTGAATTTGTTATTTTAATTCACAAAATAAAACTCGTTATTCTTAATAAATGACAAGGTTGCGAACTTGCGCCTCGATCTGATCAGATATGAAATTATTTAAAAAATTTTATTCGTGTAAAGCGAAAAAATTATTTTTTAGTGTAACCGTATGACTTCTTTTTCATTAATACATAGTATTGATTAAATCTTTTCAAAATTTAGCTACATTTAAGAACGTTGGGGGTTTTAATCTAAAATTTAGAGAAGTAACAAAACTCGTAAAATATCCAATATTTTCACAGCTTTTATTTTAATGCTGACATTTCATAAAATGGGAAACAGTTTGCCAAAAAATCAGTGTTTACTGTTAAAGATTAATTTTTCCAATTAGAGGTTTAATTGATTAATTCTGTTGTGTTTGTTTTTATGACGCAAAAGGATTGTCAACCTTTAAACCTTTGCCTGAGCAATGATGGTTTTAAAATCATGTTTTTTATTAGGAAAGTTAAATAAGAGGTACATTGTGAAATCTTGTCTTTCTGTAAAGCCTTATTTTTTAATTACGTTGACAGCCCCTTTAACAAATCAAGTAAAATTTAAAACAATGTTATCTAGCAATTATTGAAGAGAAAAGAAGAGCAGTACCTATCCAATTGTAATCAGGTCTGAAAGAAAAACTTTTTAAATTGGTTCATTAGGTCAAATAAATAATGAAGGTTGGAAGAAATGTATGAGGTCTATTTTTGCGTGAGAAAATATAAGTGCATTTACAACAACGTCTTGGTCTCTATCTCATTCACAAAATACTTATATTTTTTAGAGACTGTGTAGAGATATTAAACAACGTTACTTTTAATTTTTCGTTTTTTAAAGATCTAATTTCACATACAAAAAATTCTACTTAAAGTATAAACTCAAACTTGTTAATACAATCAACCTTTTTAAAAGGTTAATCACGATGTGGATACAGGAATTGAGTATTTGCCAAAAGCTCAAATTTTCTATTTCCTATATCTTGGCAACCTGATGGTGTAAACCTTTAATATTTCAAACTTTAATTATTTGATCTAACAGAATTCATATGGTTTGAAATATCGAAGGTCTAAAACATTTGGTTGCAAAGTTATAGGGATTAGAAAATAAGAGTTTGTGGCAAAGACTCAATTCCTTTGTGGCAGCTTTTGGACTTTTCAAGCATTCTAATATTTTGAAATAAACGGCTTTACCAACAAAATGTATCTTTGATTCATTTGCTCCTAGAATATGACTCAGCATTTGATCCCACAGAGAGGTGAAAAAAAACCTTGGTATAGATCACAATAAAATTTGATGCAATCATTTAATTTTAAGAATTAAAATCAACCTGTGCTTGAAAGGAGCAGAGTTGACTGCTAGGTAGGCAGCTGCATGGGTTCGTCCAAGAACGTTCTTTGCCACACATGTATACAATCCAGTATCAGACGAACTGAACATTAGTTTTCTTAATGAACTCTATACACACATGTATACAATCCAGTATCAGATGAACTGAACATTAGTTTTCTTAATGAACTCTATAACTCACAACAAACCATGATTTTCGAATTCCTATACATTTTTTCTTTAACAGTGAAAACAAAATGTTAAACTATTTAACCTAACATGAAACAGAAAAAAATATTTATTTTTATTTTTACATTAGACTCTTCGGCTACACATAATTTTTGACACATAAATTACCCACAGACGTTCAGAAATAATTGTTCTTGATATCAATACTTTTTTAACGTTTCATATCAGACTTCGGTTTAGACATTTGAGTTATTTATCAGAAATATCTGAACGGATTTTAAGACTAATACCAAGATCAAGTGCTACCTGACTCTTCTAATACCAAGATCAAGTGCTACCTAACTCTTCTAATGCCAAGATCAAGTGCTACCTGACTCTTCTAATGCCAAGATCAAGTGCTACCTAACTCTTCTAATACCAAGATCAAGTGCTACCTAACTCTTCTAATACCAAGATCAAGTGCTACCTGACTCTTCTAATGATGTGTACATTTGGCTCCCCCTTATCCGATGCTGTCTAGAAATAAAAAATAAAAAACCCAGTGCAAAATCTCTCTAAAATGTTCCCTTTTATTTGAATATGCATAATTTTTTCTTTAGTTTTATAAAGTTTCACTTTTTTGAAATTATGCGTGCAACTAGCCTGAAACTCTCTTTTTTTATATTTAAAAGAGAATTATTTATTAGTTTGTGAATGTTTGGATCAGAAACAGAGAATGTTATTTATAAAGCAAATAAAATAAATTGAAAATTTTCTGATTTTTCTTTTTCTTTTCTTTGATAAGTAGGTCCGCGGTAAAACAATATTTCTCCAGAATTTTCCACCATCAAGTATTTATGGACAGTCTTTGTGAAAATAATGCCCTTTGGCAATCCAAAAACCAAATTGTATTTTAAACAACAATGCAAGATTACTGATCATGTTTTTACTATCATCAGAAATTGTTCAATCTTTTATTATTTAAAGGTTAAACAAAGCTTTCAAAGTTTAAAGAAACAAATTTTCTGAAGTAAGAATTATGGATTGTTTTTTTACAAATAAAAATGTGCAACACAATGGATAACAACTTTTCATATTTTAAAAGTATTGATCAATTCATTTGGTCATAAAACATATCATAAGGTAGAATGCAATGATTACCTTGATAAGAACCTCAGTGCCATTTTCCATCTCATGATACCAGTTTATAGTTGAAACCATACACGACATGTCAACCTTGAAAGAAGAGAATCACGATAACATTTTTTTATACCATACACTACATGTCAACCTTACAATTAGGATATTTTGATACCAGTTTATAGTTAACACAATACTCGACATGTCAAACTTAAAAGAAGGGTATTTTGATACCAGTTTATGATTAACACAATAATCGACATGTCAAACTTAAAAGAAAGGTATCACTATACCATTTTTATCTATACCATACACTACATGTCAACCTTAAAATAAGAGTAGCACGATACCATTTTATCTCTATACCATGTACTACATGTCAACCTTAAGAGAAGGATATCACGATACCATTTTTTATCTATACCATACACCACATATCAACCTTAAAAAAAGAGTATCACGATACCATTTTTTATCTATACCATACACTTCATGTCAACGTTAAAAGAAGGGTATCCCGATACCATTTTATCTTTATACCATGTACTACATGTCAACCTTAAAAAAAGAGTATCACGATAGCATTTTTTATCTATACCATACACTTCATGTCAACGTTAAAAGAAGGGTATCCCGATACCATTTTATCTCTATACCATACACGACATGTCAACCTTAAGAGAAGGGTATCACGATACCATTTTTTATCTATACCATACACTACATGTCAACGTTAAAAGAAGGGTATCCCGATACCATTTTATCTCTATACCATACACTACATGTCAACCTTAAGAGAAGGGTATCACGACACCATTTTTTCATCTGTACCATACACTGCATGTCAACGTTAAAAGAAGCCTATCGCGATATACCATTTTATCTCTATACCATACACTACATGTCAACCTTACAATTAGGATATTTTAATGCCAGTTTATAGATAAAACCATGAACGACATCCATCTGATTTTGTTCAACAAAATTCGTTGGAGCACCGGAGCCAAATTCAACTTTCAATAAAAGATAGCTCAGGGTTTAGACGATTTTCCTAATATTACAAAAAATGTAAGTACATTTTCTCTTTTTTATTATATTTTGTGATATAAAGATGTTATTTTCTCATTATTAATTTTTTATCTTTTTTGTCGAAGTCTGGCCAAGGTCATAGATTATTAAATACCGAAATAAATAACATTAAGAATCCTAACTCTACCCTTTAATGTTGAGTATGAATATTAGAATCTCAAAATACCTTGACTTCATGTTTCAGAGAAAACTATTTTTAATAAAACAGGAATTTAGATTTTAAAAGGGATCTTTAGCGAAAATCAAAGGATTGGTTACTTATTTAAAACTACTCATAATACCCTTTTATGATGAAAACAACTCAGCCATCCTTCTAAAAGTAACTGATTGCCAAGGTTATAAAATCTTTAGGTAAAAAACAATATCAAGAGTTGATATGCATACATAACAATGACTTCGCAAATGAGGCTTGTGTTAAGTTTTCAAAATCAGTACTGATGGTGTAAAGCATATTTACAAGATTTGTCAAGAGCTTTTGCAGTAATTACGCAGCATTATCAATTAAAGCGGAAAAATCCCAAATCAAATTTTTGTGCATTTTCAAATTGTTTAACAATCCCATAAAAATTCCTTTACTTCAAAAGTTCAACAAACGATGCATAACAGTATCCTTTGAACTTAGAATATATGCGTTAAAAGTCAGTTATTAAGATTTTTTTTACCTTGCAGTTGAAAATTGCCTTGTCTCCTGGTTTAACGGTTATATTTTCCATCAAATTCGATATTCTCGGATGTCCACAAGTTTTAACTTAAAACAAAATTGCATGATGCTAACAGAGTATTATATAAACATAATTATGTATTGTCTATCTAAAATATTTAAATCAAATTATGAATATAACAAATCTTTATTAAAAACTTTAATTCTTTACATAATTTGATATTTGAGTATCGTCTTTGACTTTACAAAAAGTTTGTGGCATTAATTTTCCATATTTAGAAATATTTTTCATATAACAATAATCATTTCAACAATGTGTTTTTTCATTTTCTGGCATTCAAGAGATATTAAGAATTATGCTTACTTGTAAGAGTATAACTTGATTTAGATTAAGATAAGATAAGATATATTTAATTGCTAAAAAAACACATACAAGTTATAATGTTACAGGCAAAAAATCTTTAACTATTTTTATATTATTAACTGTATGCATGTAATTATAGAAATTAAAGAATATTGCGTATCTGATATCTGTAAGTTATTTAGTATCATTTATGCTCATCTTGATCTAGCAGTACAGATTTTTTATAAATAATTTTAAGTTTCACGATTGTTATCACGAAACATACTTCCAAAAACTTTTTCAAATTAAACCTTTTCAGACAATATCGCCCTACCAACCATTAAATATTATAAATATGTTTTCATACAAGAAAGTGAAGGATCTGGTTGTTTCCCACAGTAAACGAAAATAAATAAATTATTTTAGTTCACCGTGGAATTAAATTCATTAATAAATTTGAAATAGCTTTCAAAAAGTGTATTCAGCTTCCGACCCCCATAAATATCTTTAATTTAACTTTCAAGGAAACTTAATATTTCTGGGTTTAAATTTTATTAACGAGATGTTCCTTAAAATGACATTTCCTGACAACATATTCCCTGAAGAGGATTTTAAAAAAAACGATGGGGGGGAGGGGGTGTCATTCAATTGTTAATATTATAAACATTCATTTTAAATTTTCTTGTCTTCATTTTAACTTAGGAAAGGGGATAGAGGTAGAACCGTATACGGAACAAATCAGAGTAAAAATATGATTTGATCTGCGCTGTCTGAACTTTTAAAGGAGAGAAACTTAAAATAATGAGAGCATTAGGAATAATGTAATGAAATTAAATATTTTTTAATTCAGAACATTTTTGTTATCCAAATATTTTTGAACAAAACCTAACTCAAAAAAAGACAAACAGAAAGTGGCAAACGTTTTCCTGTCCAATGTGTAAAAGTTAAAAGGAAACAAAAAGTAGTACATGGTCAGTTAGCACATCTGTACTTTTTTTCAATCCGTTGGTAAACAGTTTGTTAAATGTGGTAACATTTCAACTTAAACATTAATTTTAATTGTTTACAAACTAACCATGATTTATAAAAATGATTAAAAATGCTCTTTAAGATAAAAGAATCTCCCTAGTATAATTACAGGACAGGTTAAACAATCAGTAAACTGAACCAGGGCAAACAAACAACCAGGTAACGAGAAACCCCACTTTACAATTACTTAATTCATATGGATAGACACTTTTATATAGCGATGCTTTAAACTAAACTTAAAAATGATATACCCAGACAACCCATACTCCTCCCTGAAATACCAGTGACCCCTTGTTATAAAACATGTTGTGTTAGATAAATTTGTTTTTTCTGGTGAAATAAAAATAAAAGTTGTTGCACCGAGTCAATTAGTTCAGATTTCTTTGTCTTCCATGCATTGCGAGCAGCCAACAAGATACATTGAGAACTTGGTAACCCAGCTCTACATACAGGGGGGGGGGGGGGTAACAGAAGCTGGACTTCCCCCCCCCATGCCCCTAGGGAAACAGAATGAATATATTTTCCAAGGAGCAGGCCTACCCCTGGAACAATAAAAAAGCTATGGCCCCATCCCCCTGAAAAAATGTCTGTTTACGCACTTGGTTCTACATAAAAAGATACAACCAAATATTAGAGAATAAAGCTGAAAAAGGAATTTGAAAAATATTTTAATAATTTTGATGCAGGGTGAGCCCATCACATATCAAACATTTAAAATTTTGACAGAAAAGTTTAAAACTAAATGCAAAACTCTCATTAAATTTTTTAGAATTTTTTTGGATTTAATTTTTATTGCGCCAAAATGGTCAATATCTCATTTTTATAGAAAGACTTCATTTGTAAAGCTTCATTATTTGATGAGTTTGTAACTTGGTAAATAAATCACTTAATTACCATTTTATTCATTCCAAAACTTACTTTGTAGTAATCTATCCACAAGCCCAGAGGACCCTGAAATTGAAATTTGTAAATCTTTTCTTTGGTTAAATGAAATGTGTTAATATATTTTCACGAGTAAAATATTTCTTAAAAATATGATAAATCTTACTTTGTAGAAGTTTGTCAACAAAGGCAGAGGAGAAGTGAATGTAAAGCATGGAGCAGAATAAAATCTTCCCTGCTTTAGTTCATTTTTTATTTCAAATTTTCTTAACCCTCTTTACCTCAAACTTCTTCACTTTTTTAGCTTCATAGTTGTGAACAAAGGAATTGAGCTTTTGCCACAAACTCAGATTTTCTAATTCCTATAACTTAGCAACCCGTTTTCCTAGACCTTTGATATTTCAAACTTTTAATTCTTGTAGATCATAAAGTCTAAGTTTGAAATATCAAAGGTCAACACCATAAGGTTGCAAAGATATAGGGGTTAGAAAATGGAAGTTTGTTGCAAAAACTCAATTCCTTTAAAAAAGCAAATTTTTGCATAGGGTTGGATGGAGGACGGTCAAAGGCATTTAACAAATTCAAAAACAGTCCATAGTTTTTATTAAAAAAGCCACAGATTATAATTTTTTTTGAAACGCCCTTGAAAAATAGATATTACATATGAAATGTGAATAAAAATGTTAATATTTACCAAAATTGAAAATAAATATGTTTAACCATTTTCTGACATAATTAATTAAAAAATCTTCCTAGAACCCTAACCATTAAAGTACTAGAGGTAGATTTAATTTCTTTTAATGAGCTGATCATGAAAAGTTGGACTAGGGACATGTATCACACTTCTTTATCACTAAAGGCAAAAGCAAAAGGCAGCACAACAAATAACTTTAAATTTCTTTATTTAGAAGATTTTCTGAAACTATTTTTAAAAAGCCTATTTTTCTTCTCATTCACGTTAATTAAAATGAACTTCCTTTCATCGCTTCGTCAGAAACAGGTAGATTCCATCAGAATACTGAAAATAATTTTGTTCTCCATAAATAGTGCAAGTGTTACATCTTTTTTATTTTATTTTATTTTATTAAAGGCATGCAAGATATGTCCCAAAATTAACAATAAATTAATATGTAACATACCCTTTAGAAGAGAATTAAATATTGACTGCATCATAATTTCTTGATTTCTGAAATCTAAAACCATTAATGACGGTAGCAAAATTAGGAACTGTGATAATTCAACACAATTTTTTTGAGGTTTTAAAGGGAGTGTTCGCGAAAAATGAAAGGGGGTATAGGCTTAATGCGATAAAAAAGCGCTTTTGATTTCTACTAATCTTACTTCTATCTGTTGCGTCTATAAGGAGAAAATTGTTAAAAACGACTCACACCGAAGAACGCAGCGCCCATACAAATTCGGAAAGATGCAACATTCAACTCGGATCGTAAACAAATCAATTTAATTCCAAACAAATCATTCAGATATTACAAACAATAGTCATCGGTTATTTTTCGACGCATTCATACATAGTTAATATTTCATAATATTTTGATTTTGTTTTTTTAGATTAATTTTCGCTGGCGCTGGATTTTCGAACATTCCTGGAAAATATGAAAATGTCGTCTTCATTATCAAAAATCCTCGAAACAGGAAAAAATGTAACTCTCAGATCATGAAAAATACAAAATATTATGAAATATCAACTATTTACGAATGCGTCGAAAAATAATCGATGACTATTGTTTGTAATATCTGAATGATTTGTTGGGAATTAAATTGATTTGTTTACGATCCGAGTTGAATGTTGCATCTTTCCGAA